CATATAGAAATGTTAAATATTAATTTTATATTGTAACAAATATTCATAATGAGGTTTGTTTTCGGCTATTAAATCATAAACATATTGAGGATATTCGATTTCTTCTTTTTCCTTTTTATCTGTTTCATTAAATCCTGTATGTTCCATCGCATTTCTATTAATTTAGATATATATTAATATCATGTATAAAATAATAAATAATAAACAAAATCAAAAAATAGATAATTATATATACTTATGCCATATTTTATACAAATCAGGTAAATAATATATATTTGGAAGGTTTACATCCCAAAATCTTAATTCGTCTTCAGTTTTCCATTCAAGCATTTCTTTTTTAAATTCAACTCCAACCATTTCACAATATTTTTTCAAAATTTTTTCAGGTTCTCGAACTAAATCATCAGAATCTACTAAAGCGATTTCTTCTCCAGTTACATTTTTAATTAAATCATAAAAAGCTCTCAATTCTTTAAGTCCAATATGTTCAGCAGAAAAAAATTCAAATCTTTCAGAATTAGATGCATTAACTTCATCCCAAGCTTTATAACTTGCATTTGCAGCTTTATAATAAGATTTTACTGATTGTTCAGGATTACGAAATAAAAATGTATGTTTGAATTTTGAAAGTATTTCTTTAGATTGAAGTGGATTTCCTTTTGATGCATTAAAGTAAATTCTTGCAAAATCTTTTACAAATGCTCTTAATGGTTTTGTTTTATCTCCATTATAATAACGTGGCTTAATTATTTCATTAAGTGTTGGCGTAAAATAATGAGGAAAAGTAATTGGATCGGTAGGTTTAGGTGATTGAATATTATTTAAAAAATTTTCATTTTTTGTATAATGCGCAACTCTTATTGGAACCAAAGGTTCATGAAAAACATAAAATTCTTGATCTAGTTGAAGGAATGGTCGTTCAAAAACCGTAGAGCGTGATCTCGGATGAGCCCAAAGAATAATTGGTCTTTGATCAGTCATTTTTTTTTTTTTAAAAAAAAAAAAAAGTAAAATATTTTGCCAACCTTTTAATATCGAAATAGTTATATAGAGAAATGTTTGAATTATGTGATACAAATGACCTGGTTCACAGGTCGAAAAATAATTTATTCTATACACATCCTATACATATCAGTACCGTATTAATGCAGAAAATCCTACACTTATAGTATACATATGGGGTATTTGTAATATAAGTGTAGGATTTTCTGCATTAATACGGGTACTGATATGTATATGATAAGTATAAGATAAATCATTTTTTGCCGCGAAATTATAATAATGGATTTGCAACCCCCCTAGTATCGTCCAGTAAATCTGTTACATCAGACGGGATTTACTCGGATATATGGTAAAAATGAAACGCGGAGTAGTAACAAACTGGGCGACACTAGTTATAATTTCCTTATTTAGGTTTCGTCCGAAACACTAAGAAATGAACATATGATGAGTTACTGTAAATCAGCCATATGAATTATCATTCTATAAAAATTTACGGATTTTTTTTATGCATTTAGACAATTGAAAAATGATTTTTGTAAAAATTTAGGGTTCCTTTTTTTTAATATTTTTGCAACTAACGCTTTATTATTCTCAATTTAAAATAAACACCACAGACCAGACTGAAATTATCCACCAAGTTACATATTGAAAAGTTAAAAATTATAGAAATAATTAATTATATTTATTAAAATTTGAGTTAAATATTAATTTTATATTGTAATTAATTAGATTACGGTGACTGCAAAATTTTATTAATCTCAGCACCAAACTTATAATTATCTATGTTTAGTATACAAATCTTTCTACGTATTTCTTAAAATTGAATAAATTCTTTCTATTAATAAAATTTAATATTTACAAATTAAAAAAAAAAAGTTGCTGTTTTATCGCAGTATGACGTCAATATTCCGAATTTTGAGGCAGTTTGTATTTATAGTATATCTGATATTCTCCCCACTTTAACAATAGAGCATTTCATTTTTACATTTGCGATAATGTATTTCTTTAGATTTATCAAAATACTAGTTTGTACAGTTTACACTTGTAGACTTGTTTACATACTATTTAATAAACATTAATTTCAATATCAATAAATATGACATAGAAATATTTTGCGCTCTACTAAATGGCTTAAAAAAAATATTTCATATATAAGCAAATTTTTTGTTACTAGGTTTAATAGAGGATTGGTTAATTTGCTTATTTAAAATATAATATTTGAAGCTAGATATAAATTTTGCTTAGCGATCATAATAAAAAGGGTCATTACTAGTAAAAAGCACTTACAGTTTTTCAAAAATCTTAAATTTTTTTATTAATTTAACAGATTTTAAAAAACTATTTCAGCGAAAAAGAAAAGAAACTGATCATGCCACACAATTACGTATTAAATTTCTCCTGTTAAGTTATTCATTCAAAATATCGGAATCAAAGACTATAAAAATTAATTCCCGGTTTACTATAAATACATGAAAATCAGTTGATCTGTGTAATACTAAGCCACTGTCATATAGCCTTTATTATATTTTTTTATCGTTTGTCTTTTGTATTTGTTGTAGCTTATAAACCGATTCTTAACCAGTTCCTAAAAAAACAGATTTATAAAGACTGATTCCTAAAAATTCTAATGACTTTAACCAGTAAACAGGTAAGTAATATTTGTTATTTTATTTTATTGTTTTTGACTACTTTTTTCGTTTCTAACTATTTTTTACTTAACTAATTTTTTTTATTTAGATCTTGAGTTTTTAGGCAAAGAACAGAGAAAGAATAGTATTTCTTTAAAACTTCTCTGACTTTTACCTTACATAGATGTTTAAATAAAGGTATTCTTAAAATTTTAGAGATTAATAAAAAAGGGCTAGAGATAGCAATAAAAAAAAAAATGTTTGCTCAGATTATTTTCTAGATAAAAGTATTCTTAGTATTTTTAAATGAAATAAAAGGAACTAATTCCTTTTTTAAAAAAAAAAAATTTATAATCATTTTTAGTGGTGCAAATAAGCGGTATTCGTACTTTAATTAATTTTAATTGATCAACAAATCACCTGATCACTAATTCGAAAACGGCGATAAAAAACGTCATTTTTCAATTTCTTTTATAGGTTGGTTAGAGATTTAACCCAGAAAAGTGGTCACGAAAATAATTACGTAATCATTATATATTTGTGATAGTCTATTTTATAGTTTATTTAATTTTTTTCTCTCTCCATTTTCTTTACGATACATTACCATTTTATTTTATTAATATCTTTTTACATAATGATTTGTCAAAGCTGTCACAAAAAAAATCTTGACAATGACTTGTTCTTTAATGCTAAAATACCCAAAACATTTTTAAACAGTGTTTTAATTGTCATTAATGTGCTAAGAAAAACGATAATCTAACATCACGAAATTCCAGGGTATTCAATATTGCACAAAAATCAAAATTATTTAATATATTGAAAATTATTGCACATATTGTTTTGGTATATAATAAGCGCAAGAATTGGCAATTTTTTTTATAATAAATTGCAAAAAAAAAAATTTCAATAGTATAAGTAATATACTAAATATACAAGTCATGCATTTTTAGGATATGTGAATCAAGCACAAGATTTTGCATTTTTTTTTTTTGCATCATAAAAAATCTCCTGATGAAAGCAGATGTAGAATAATTATTTCCAAATAAATCCAAGAGAAATTTCTGATCACCTTTTTAATTGTTAGCAGATTTAAGTCCTACTAATGACTTTATGATGTAAATGGTACACAGAAAGTCATACCTCGACAAATTGATCAATTATATTTATTATCTAATAATCATGAAATAACAAAGCGAAGAAAAGAATTCAAGCATGAATGGAAAAGATTGCAACAAAAGGAAGTCATTTATCCTAATTCC